TTAGAAAACAAGTAAAATTAAAGACGTAAATGGTAATCTAAATATAAAAACTTTACAGCTGTACTTTAAACGAGACAAAATCAACTTTTATTTCGTCAACTTCTTTTATTTATGCATCAATACTCTCTTATTACCTGTATATAGTGTTTATTTCTCTTAACAATTGTCACGCATGAGCTGTACTTACAAACAATTTCTATAAAGACTTTTTTCACAAATAATGAGTGAATACTACCATTCGTATCTTTTAAATTCGTACTAGTATTCGCAATTTTACATGTTCGATACAAAATGACCTTATGTTAGTACATTTTTTTAAAGAACTATATGCGGTATATTGCATATGTTTGCCCCCACAAAAGTCAAATTTTGAAAACTTCCTGAAATGTGCTGAATTCAATAAATTGTACGAGAAATATAAGTTAACAGAAAATATTATAGTTCCAGAGCAGTGTATTCACAATTTCTGTTTTTATGACGTCACAAACTAGTCCGATTTTATATCCTTTTTCAGAAAGAGGACAAAATGGACAAAATTTCAACAATTTAAGCTTTAAAATTTATAGAGCGCATGTGTGTTCAGGAACAATATTGACATATTTCATTGATATTATCATTCTACACATTATATCAAAATATTTATCCTGAACACACATGCGCTCGGTGACTTTTATTTAAAATATCGACGAAATATGTACATTTTTCTGCAAAATTCATAAAAAACTGAAATTTACGTCATATTTGTGACGTCATTACGTACATATGACGTCATTACTTATGAAATTATTCAGTGCTTTGAAGTCAGCATATACTCCCCTGTTTAAGGACTTAATTAAATATTACTCCATCAAAGTTTGATTTTGGGGGGCAAATGTTGGTTAATACCGCATATAGTTCTTTAGACAAATGCTGACTGACGTTTTTCATAGAAATTGTCAAATTGTTATAAAAATTTTGAATTGTCAACGTATTTTTCTGTTTTTTCCAATCATGACAATTTAAGGAGCACACAACGGGTTTGACTAGTCGACAGGGGATGCTTACTCTTTCATGGTATCCGACCATATCTGGTGTTTTTAAGAGATCCGTATAAGGCGTATGTGCTCTGTTTCCAACTTAAATTGTTGTAATCAGGTAATGGACTTTTGAGATCGACCACTGTCCATTTTCTCTGTATTTGATCATGTTACCTAGTTTCTAATATGTGCTGCCTAGAAACTGATGTACAGGTATCAAAAAATTCAAAATAAACTAGTACGTTCTTTTAATGAAAAAAATTAAACAACCATATTCTTTCTATTTTCAGTGAGCAATAAATATGAAATTACCGGGAACATCTCAATATGATATATCGTTATCTATTATGTAAATCGACTTCAATGAACTATACTCCGCTGGTAATTCAATACAAGTATGACATAGTCACCTGAGCTGTGGTTTGTTGCTTTACAGGTTTTTAGACAATGATTAGTTGAAGTATCTTAATGTTAGTCATCCTCACATTGTCAATCTTTTATGATTTCTGAACTGTATGGAGTTCCGAATCATAAACCCTTGATATTTTGAGGATGACTGTTGGTATTTTTATAATTAAAATGGATGCATTAAAATAACATGTTTTTGTTGCATACGTAAAGAGTTTTCAACATTTTTTGAAAATAAGATTTGCTAACTGAAAATAATGGTTTTTATTTAGCAATATGCTTGTTTATCTTAAGTTTTTAGTCTCCCTGATAACTGGCAAATATGCACTTCCCAGAAAAATAATATGAGATCATGAGTGTTTTGTCATGTGACATCCTACAGCCAACCAGTGTATAGTTGAAAATTTGCATAATAGCCATTATCACGAGACTTTCACAGCCCAAGGTAAGATACACATTCTCTTAAAAGAAAGTAAACTGAACAAGACGTTGTTTTTGAGGAAATTAAACATTATTTATTTAAATATGCTCAAGAAGACAGTGTGGAACAAACAAGTGGCCCAATGATTAACTCAAAATTATACCTATTACGTATAAATTACATGTTAAGTCTTCAACATATGGCTCCTTGCAACTATGTTTAATTTAATTTTTCAACATAGAATGTCCGTTCATTTTGTCATATTATAATTAAAAGTGTACACGAGGGTTGTTCGAAAAGTTCGTGGACTACTGTCATGTCTTTTTATTTGAAGTCATATCCAAATTTGGTACGATTATTTTAAAAAAATAAATTCAAATGATTTGTATTTCTTTTTTAATTTAAACAATATTTATTCAGTAAACTGAATAGATTGGGCAATAGGCTTAAGCCTATAATACGATTTATTCAAAACTTTTCAAATTTTAAATATGCAAAAATCAAATCGCGGAACAGGTCAAAATTTAGTAAGTTACAAACAATAACCTAATAATGTCTGTAGTCATATTCTTTGTAAAAAGGAGAAAAAAACGAAACACAACCTAGAAATTAAGGATTGTTACATCGATTAGTATTCCAAATTATGGCTTAATATTTTGTTTCGTTTAAAAGAAATCAACATGGGAAGATAGGTAGTAGTCATTGAAAACGACAAAAAACGATGACGTTTTAGAACGTCACGGAGCAGTAGATATAGATGCAATTTTGTATTTTACCCAGGAAAAATCCTGAATAAACTCTTATAAACTCTAAAAATATCGGAGGAATAAAAAATATGTCACACGCGAGTTGTGCAATGTATGTGCAGATAATACAGGCAGTACTTGAGTGACGGAGACTCTGTATCGGATGAGGACAATCTGCGAAGAAACAGTTTACTAGTATATGTAAAAGTCTGAACAAAATCTTTTTTTTAAATTAAAGTTGGAACGTCAGGGAAAGACATAGCCGCTTCAGAGTCGCTTATCCTGTGAAAGCAGAGTTAAATAATAAAAGAAATTAAAACCTCAACAAAGGAAATTATACAACGAAAATACTTCTTTAAAAAAATAAATGTCAAGTATTAGAAAGAGGCTTTTAATGATTGGGTATTGGATTAAACTGTGTGAAATGTATACGGATGGTATTTGCTAATAAATGGAATGAAACTTCACACATCAACAAAACAAATATTTTTAGATGTATTATATTATATTGTGCTTATTTTAAATTTTTAGTGAGTAATTTAACGAAGATTGACATTGCCCACGAACTTTTCGAACTACCCTCGTACATTATAACATGTATTTTGTTTTGTCCATATAGAAAAGCAAATCAATGAAAACCACTGAAATATGCGTTACTTACTGTTACAGGATATATACTGGTATCTATATTTACATTTGCCGACATTTCCTTGTATGGCAATAAAAATTAAATTGAAATTTAATTTTCAATAACATGCAGTATAAAATTGTTGAATTGGGTAGAGGGAAACAGTCGATCTGTTGGACGGGAGTGCAAGTTGTTGCTCGCGGTTTGCAGTCCGGTCCAACAGATCGACTGTTTCCCGATACTCTTCTCAACAACTGTTTCGTTATGCTCTGCCGAATGAAAAGATAACTCAATTTAGCGCCCTTTGACATCAGCGGACAACGACAGTTCCTAGACCGACAGACGGGAAAAATAGTCGAGCTATTTGACTTTTAAAAGTACGAAATTATATAAGGACCGTTAAGTTCTGGTATAACATATGGTTATATGCCCAGACTTTGTTGTGTATGGAAAGCAAAATGCACAAGGAATTTGGAAAGTTTGAATGTGATGTCACATGACGTCGTGGGTATCTTATGTTGCATTTCCATAAAAAAAGTCCTGATAATGTCTATTCTTCCTTGTAACACAGATTAATGTAATATATAAATATAAGAGATAAAATGTTATTTTTTAGAGTTTCATTTGGGATATGAGTTGAAGTCAATACGCGATCAAATCTACTATAACCCCTTTCAAGCATTTTAGAATTAGATCACTTGACAGACCTCATGTCATATCTTAATGAAACTTTAAAACTGATGTTTTGTTGCTTAAATAAAGATACATGTATGCTGATGATTATTGAAGAGTCATTTGACATCAAATTAGGTGATTTGATAAGGTAAAAATATATTAATTGAAAATTACGTTCTGCAGATCAATGTTTGAACGCCATTTTTACATAAAGACCTTGACACAGAAAGCAAAACCAACTCATCATTATTGTCAGTCAGTGCTCAGTGATGTGAGAAGAGTTGAACAAAATGTTTAAGTTTAAATTCCATCTTTTCCTTTTATGGAGACTTTATCAAAATGAAATTATTCAACTTTCTCCAAAAAGCAATGTAGAAATTGTGATTGTAAATGACTTAAAATTCTTAAATGTAATTTTTAAAGTTCCATTTCTTGCTTCTCTCATTTTCAGAAATTAAAATCCATTAATCACATGGTGTCAGATTGTCGAAAGAAAGATGATACTTAAGTTGAATCTAAAAAATAAAGAATTGTACATTATCATAGGTGTAAAGCTAGGACTATGTAGAAGTAACCCAACCTTGAAGCAGAATATACACATAAAAAGTCCATCTTCTGGCAATAAAATACTTACAGTAAAACTAGATGGAAACATGACTCTTTTAAGTCTGATAATATCACATTCATAAATTATTAAGACGAGGACACCTTTTTCATGACCCTTTAGTCACACGATCCTGAACGTTTACTTTTCGGAGTTTTTCTACAAAATATGTGTGTATCTTTTTATTCAAAAGAAAACAAAATTGCCATTCTTTTGTTCGGCAATAATTATTTATTTTCCTTACTTACTTTATTTGACATTGAAATCATCTAAAGAATTTTCAATATCTTGCCATATTACTAGTAACTTCTTTCTGATATTATCTTTATAATCCTTTTATAAATTCGAAGAAAAACAAAACAAATATTTTCCCTTAGATGTTCATTTTCAAATAAGTTTCCATTCTTTTGATGAGTAAAAATGAATTTAAGATTAGAGAAAATTAATGATGTTTTCTATGAAATCTTAAAAATATTCTCAAATTCTATTTTTAAATAGGAGTAGTACCCGACACATTCAGAATGGCAGAAAATTTGTCTTCCGACACACCTGATCTCACCAAATCAAATAGTAGCAACTACGGGAAGCAGTCCTTGGAATCCGTGCTGAGTGACCAAAACTATCTTTTTGTCGTGGCTTTGGATTTTGGAACAACATATTCAGGTTACTAGTATTCTTTTAGCGCAAGGGACAGATTTCGTCGAAACCCTTTGGATATCCATTGCAATCAGGAATGGATTGGGGGAGGCGCATCTTTGATTTCGTTAAAAACTCCAACATCTCTTCTTCTTGACAAGGATGGCGCATTTGTGGCATTTGGTTACGAGGCAGAGGATAAGTTTTATTCAGAAGTGGCAAGGGATCGACGTGGAAATTTTATGCTGTTCAGACGATTTAAAATGAAATTACATAACAAGAAGGTAATTTTAAAATCAATAGTACGGTACCTGCTTAGATTGTAGAATTGGATAACTGTGGTATACCTGTATATCTAACCCAAACAGAGGAAAATATATATTAAATTTGCAAAGACTTTATTCATCTAGCAGCCACGTTATCAATTTCTGTACCTTTAGAAGACTCAGATTCATGTAATTAAAAGAAATAACCTTCAGTTTTTTTTCTTTTCTTACTTTCTTTACTTTTTTGTTTAATGATGATGATCAAGTAATTTAATATTTTCGTGCATAAACCCAATCGCCTGAATAAATCAACAACAAGACAGCTAGACAGTTAAAACGTGTATATATAGTTCTTGAATTTTCCATAAAGTCATTTCCTGATAAACTAATTCATATTATTATTGGGCGCAATGGAGATTTCAAAAGAAATTTTATAAGAAAAACATCATTGCATAACTTGAAGGAACATGCTGAAAAAGAAAATTTATAAACTTCATCCATATTTCCCCAATTTTGTTGTGTCAAAACCACTGAATGAATATTTTGCACAGGGAGGTTCGCAAAAATCATTTCGGTTTGAGCTTTTGGAAATCAAATTTAGTTAATTAAAAGTGAAGTACTGATTTATTGAAATTAGAAATATTATTTTAAGTTTAAACCTTTCATCGAACAAGCCATTTTGAACAGGGAATTACCTTTATTTATTCATAATTTGGGAATAATCATTATGAAAAGAAAATGTCTATGTTAACAGACCTATTTTTGTTTTCATATCAAGCAGATTTTGTCCAAAATCTTCTACGTGAAAAGAAGAAAACACTTCCTTTGGCTGTCATCTCGACATTTCAATATATCGACGACGTATTGTAAATTAACAATGGTTATTTCCATTCCTTTGTCGATACGATATATCACGGTGAGCTTAAGGGCCGGTACACACGGTAAGGCTTGCCTTATAAGTCTAAAACCTTACGTTTTGCAGGACGTACGGCTCTCCTGTCCACACGCAAAGGCAAGACTTACAATATTATAAACAACATTTACATAAACTCCATGTGTTTTCAACTATAAACAGTGCGCATTATTAAACAGAATAATAGATTACTAGCTAGGAATTTGAAATAGTTTTACCGACCAGTGCATCCACACTTCTGAACAAGGAGGAGGAGGTTAACTGAAGTATTTGTAGATATTTTCATTATCTTACTCGAATATACCCTGTGTTTTCTTCAATATACCAAAGTGTATGGTTTGATGAAATTAGATTGAACTTTGGGTAAATGGTTCTCATTGGTCCAGAATGAAATGTCGGCTAAGTCGTATATTAGAAAATAGAGCAGTGTTCTATTCTAAAGTCAGACTTGTAGGGCTCCAAAAAACGTGTATTAATGGTGTACACACGGTAAGGCTAGAACTTAAGTTTCATGACTTATAAGGTAAGCCTTACCGTGTGTACCGGCCTTAAGATAAAAGATACCATACAGTCTGACAAATATGTTTCACAATTTGATATTTTTCTTGAAAAAGACGTTAATGGTAATCTAACAACCAAGCTTTGTGATAAACAAGATTACTTTCACTTTTCAAGCGTCAACTTCCCTATCTGCATACGCTGTTTATATAATCTCTCACTCGATTCGATACCCAAGAGCATGCTCTTATTTATGCTCTTATTTCTAAAGGAGGTAAATTATTGACAAACAAGTTGACGAAGCAAGAATATTAACAGTGTCGTGTAAAATCATCATTTTGTAAGTTCTATGGTCGATACAATGACCTTTTCAGCAAATACAATTTTATCAATGAGTCAAAAGCTGACTGACGCTTTTCATGAAAATTGTTCTGTCATTATGTACATACTGAATTGTTGACTGAGTTTTCTGTTATTTCCCAATCATGAGAAGGAGCACACGGCGGGAGTAACCGGTCGACAGGGGATGCTCACATCTCCATAGCACCTGATACCACCTCTGATGTATTAGAGGTCCGTGTTTACTCTGCTCCTATTTATTATTTTTGAACGGGACTTCTGAATTTGAAAACGTTATCTCCATATATTTAATTGAAGGTAGCCTAAGATTTAAAATGTTTTAATCGTGCTTTCCTTCTAGGGAATTAGTGAAATGCTTTATTTGGAAGATGAGGCTGGAAAAGGATATCCTGCAAAACATGTTTTTACGCTATCCATAAAGGCATTGGTAGATCATTTTAAAGGACACATCAAAAAACAGATTCTTGACATAGAGTTGTCAGAAAAAGATGTAAGATGGGTTTTAACGGTTCCCGCAATCTGGAGTGATGCTGCTAAGGAATACATGCGACAATGTGCTATTAAAGTTAGTAAGGATATTATCATTTATCAATTTTCATAAGTATCGTGTCTATTTAAGTTCTTAACTAACAACATCGTTTTGAACAGGCAGGCATTCCGGACAAAATGTTGAAAATTGCTCTGGAACCAGAAGCAGCATCTATATATTGCCAATTTCTTCCCATCGAAAGGAACCCGGAAGGTTTTGGAATGACAAAGGAAGGCACAAAATATATGATTGTTGACATAGGAGGTAATATAAATTAGGAAATACTGAAGGAGGGTACATGTATACGTTTACTAAATCGTAATTGCAGTGGTGTATATCTATATGTTTATTTTTATAATTACTTTTGGATTTGATACATAAAATACTATAAGCCTAATAATATAAATAATTTTGGCAACCTCAATAAATAACAAATAATTCCGGTTAAAACTTTAATGTTAAAACTTTTCAATGTATTGCATGTATTTCAATGACTTTTATTTCAATGGCACATCTATATTTTGAGTTAGCTTTATTATATACGTATATATTTATGACATTAGAAGAATCTGAGATATATTATTTACAGGAGGCACTGCTGACATAACTGTTCATGAAAAAGTCAAAGCAGGGAAATTGAGAGAACTCCACCAAGCCTCTGGAGGAGCATATGGAGGAACAGCGGTTGACAGAGAATTCGAGAAATGCCTTACAGATATACTGGGAGAAAAAGTCATGGAAACACTCCGTAAATCGAAAACAGAAATATACATCGATATCTTTAGGGAGTTCGAAGTTGCAAAACGGACATTCACACCGGACAGCGAAGGCCCTATTCGAATGACAATTTCGTATGTTGCACTGAATGAGTTATCAGAGAAAATTTTAGGAAAGACTTTGGTCGAGTTATTCAAGAACGTAGAGGGAATGCGATTGAAGTTGGACAAACTGCATATAGATGTTGAGACCATAAAGAGGTTTTTCGATCCATCGATTAAAGAACTTATCCAGCATATGCAACAAATTATGCAAAATCCACAGACAGATGGAATAACCATTATTTTGTTAGTTGGGGGGTCAGCTGATTCCAAATATATACAATCCAAGGTTGAAAAGGCGTTTGATTCAGTTCGGTTGATTATACCCCCAGAGGCAGGATTGGCGGTGCTGAAAGGAGCTGTTATCTTCGGTCATGATCCAACCCTCATTAAATCAAGAATTTTGCGTTTTACGTACGGTACTGGAGTATGTCCCGATTTCGATCCAACTATTCACAGAGAAGACAAGAAAATAACAATTCAGGGTGTCGATCGTTGTACTGATTGTTTCAGTGTGATCCTTTCCGCGGGAACTGAGGTGGAAATAGGTCAGGAAAAAGTCCAAGGGTATTCAGCCGCCTCTTGCCTTCAAGATGGAGCCTTAGTACAAATATTTTGCTCACCCAAAAAGGAAGTGAAATATACAGATGATCCCGGATGTTTTCTACTTGGAGAACTGTACGTTCCTTTACCTATAACTCGTTTGATGGGGATTTTGAATAAAGGTGGGGGAGAAGCACAACCATTCATTGTTGTTTACATCTTTGGAGACACAGAATTGAAAATTATGGCTATAGATGCTGTAACTAAAATTCCGACAAGCTGCATATTGAAAATGAAAGATTTTGAGAATGAAGAGGAAAACGAATAATGATTGACAAAGAGAGGGGTAGTGAGAGGAGACGTGGTAAAGTAAAAATATGGCTCTAAGCAATTTTTTCATAGATTGGAAGACAATGGCAAAAAAAACTTGGGAAAAAGATTATTAAGCCTTCATTTACTTTTAGACTTGAATTTTCTTAGAGTGGGATATAAATCTGTGTGCTTATTTCTAAAGGATTTTTATATTCTGAATGTTGAAATGTCAATCAGATTATTGAACAATTCCTCTATAACGTTTTCATTTTAAAATTTGTTTGTAGTTCTATTTAAACTTGAATATTTATGATTTACCATATTCATTGCTGTCTTTATGTTTTCCAAATGTCGTGACTTTATATACTAGTATTCATTTGATTTTGTTGGTAATTTGAATTCATTAATTTGAATTTAATTATGTTCAATATTATTACTTTTTATTTTCAAATTTCTTTTGTTATTGTTATAAATAATCGTTTTAAATGTAACATCCATCGAAGACTACACATTGTAATGCCCACACCACCTCCGGATCATGGAGAAGTGCTGATTTTGAATCGAACATGGATAAAGCTTCGAAGAAATAAATTGAAATATGAATATGAAATTTTCAATAACATTTTATTGGCATTTGGGTAATTTGTAATATATTTTTTTTCTTCACGTTGAAATGAAAATTTCATTGATATAAACAATTTGTTCTATTTTTTACCAAACTAATTCTGAGGTATAAGGATCTTTTCATAACTTTCATTTTGATAAATATTCAATGATGTGTATTAATATACTCATTTTCCCCAATTAATGTGTGCATTAATTGAAACATTTTTAGCCCAAGATGCTTTTCCATAAACATGTTAATCGGAATGCTTTGAAATGAAGAAAATTTCAAGATTTTTTGTCATGATTACATGTATGTAAATGATAGAATGAATACACATACACTTAAATTATGGTTTAAAAAATATAATTCCCCAGAGAAAAATGTTTTCTTTTTTATAGAATTAAATCTTTTGATTTTACTAAAATGTTCTTCAAACTACTGTTATTCTTTGATTGTTGGTATTAAAATCTTGTCTGCCATCTCGTGTCAGTCGCCCGATTTTAAAAATATAAAAGACAATCAATAAAAATAAAAGAAAATACAGAATATAAAGTAATAAGCAAATGTTGTGAATCATAATTATTTACATAATGTGATTCAAAATGATGTTTTTCGCGAAGATGGACCGACTCTTGCAAGAGGATAGGGTCCTGTGTAGTCTGCTATATGAACAACAGATTGCAGTGTCAAAGATTGTCAGTGGAACTTTGGACTGATGAATCAAGATTCATTTCAATGATGGTCGTGTTTGAAAGAAAAGGACACACGAGGCATAAATAAGTTGTATGGTACCGACAGTAAACGTTGTTAATTACATTTACTCACAATTACTTTTTTTCATTAACCCATCCATATTGGTACATGTAAGGCATACTACCCATAGTCCTCTACGTCTCCGCACTTTTTTGTTTTGGTACAAACTCTGGCGGAAGTTTGACATGTAAGGGTAAAAAATATTTCATGCCGTCATATATAAACATTTAAAGAACGACAGACACTTTAATTTTTTTTCTAATCAAATTTTGACAACGATGTTTGTTCTTCTGTATTGTTTAATTAAATAATTAAATTTGAAATACCTTTTACCTTATCTGTTTTGAAGAAATTATTATGTGTCCTTCGGGATAAAATAATGAAATCATCACAAATTATGAAATACTTTTACAGCAACAAAGGTAAAAAAAAATTACTATGCGCTGCCGCCAGCTAGGATTTCACGGATTCGTGAGCTTCAATTTAGTAAAATATAAACTTTTTTGTGAATGTTTACCTATAAAGTTATTGGTTTTTATATGTAGGATGACAGGTGCAATTTCTGTTTTTTTTTTCAATGTTTTTCAAAAATGTGATTAACAATGTATATGTAATATACTATATTTATTTTTTTTACTTTCGTTTTCTTTACAAAGAATGGCTTATCAGTAGTATCTGGTTATTTTAAGAAAAGGTTGAAGATAGTTATACAATCGAATCATCTCGGGTCTTTCCGTCAGAGGTCGGAAAAACAACCTCTTATGTATTAACATCACCGGATGTTAAAAATTTATACATTTCCTGTTTATTCAAGTATAGGATTTAGTTAGAAGTCCCTTCTATGGTATATTTTAGGTAATATCATGACATTGAATAAAAATAAATTCCATATTCCACAGATATGCATTTATTTCAAAGATCATAAAAAGGGAGGGTTGTCATGGCGTCTACCATATACATTCGAGGTCGTTTTTCCGCTATAGTCGGAAAGGCCCGAGAAGTTGCGATTGGATACTTATATTTATCTTACCCTACTTCTGAAGAGGACACGTAAGCACTGCATTTATTGTAATCTAAATCTACACAATAACCCATTTTAGTTTCAATCAATATGTCAAATTTTTCATTTAAGTTTTTGCTCATTTAAGAGAAATATTTCTGACACTTACATTGACTTTAAGGTTTCGTCAAAGGTCAACATGTCTAAAAAATTATTTTTGCAATAGCTCCAAAACTATATTTGGTATAAAGTCAAAACGTTTACAGTTTATGAATATTTCATTGATTAATAGACAGAAAGTATCATTTGATAACAAATATTTTTAAAAAGATTTTTTTGGAGAAAAATTGTATCAGAAAATGTGCATATTTAAAAAAAATGCACCAACTTTATTCTGTCCTTTTTGTGAAAACCATCATTGCAGAAATAATATATGTTTATCATTGAAGGGCAAGTTGGATGTGAATGGTCTCTGAAAGGCTGTTATTGAAAGCATGACATGTATAAAGACAAGACCCCTTTAGAACCCGCCATATGCAATGTACTTTCACTTTCAAGTCTTAACATTTGGACAAAATAAACAGGGAAAATAACTTTCCAGAGACTATCTAAGTCCAACTTGCCCTTCATTGATAAACATATTTTATTTCTGCAATAATGGTTTTCACTAAGAGCACAGAATTAATTAGTTGCATTTTTTGAAAAATATATGCATTTTTAAGAAGAATTTTTCTCAATTACTATTTTTTCCAAGTATATATATTACCAAGTGAAACTTTCTATCTGTTAATCAATGAAAAATTGATAAACTGTAAAAGGTTTAAATTTATACCTCATATAGTTTTGGGGCTATTGTAAAAATAAATTTTTGAATATGTTGACCTTTGACGAAACCTTAATCAAGTTTGTTTTCTGGTAAGAAAGAATGGATACTTATAACTCAAATAATCGGATACGATCTGACGACTATCTTTTTGTGGCTGCTCTGGATTTTGGGACGACGTATTCAGGGTATGCCTTTAGCTCTAGATCTGAATACAGGGAAAGTCCCCTTAAGATCCACGCCAATCAGGCCTGGAATGCTGGAGGGAGTTCCTTGGCATCTATGAAGACTCCCACCTCTCTTCTTCTGGACTCTGAAGGCGAATTTGTTTCTTTTGGTTACGAAGCAGAAAACAAACATGGTAGTTTGGTGATGGAAGGAGACAGCGACAATTATTTGTTCTTCTCTAGATTTAAAATGAAACACCACAACCGAGATGTAAGTAGTCGTAAAAATTCTTCTTCTTGATAAACCAGTGTTTTCTTGAAGTAAAAATAAATTTACATTTTTGTTATAAAAAATTATAAATGATACACGACGTTATTTGTAGCTCTTAAAAGAAGATACCCCAATTCCTGATATTTCCGGTAAACCATGGCCAGCAAAAGATGTGTTCACAAAATCCATTAAAGCTTTAAAGGACCATCTGATGGACCGACTATCATTGCAGGGGATTGATATTACAACAAGTGAAATTCGATGGGTGCTAACGGTCCCTGCTATATGGAGCGACTCTGCAAAGAAATTCATGCGTAAATGCGCAGAACTTGTAAGTAGTTTGCATTGTTCTTCTTTGTTATTTTGCAAACCTTTACGTTAAAACTCTTTCCGTATTTATTAATCATTTAACAATTTGAGGCTGGGATACCTGGTGAACTGTTGTCTATTGCTCTGGAGCCAGAGGCAGCATCTATATACTGCCAACATCTTCCAGACCATAGAAACTCTGGACATTTGTCCGAAAGAGGGACCAAATATATGATAATAGATATAGGAGGTAAGTTGAAGAGTTGATAAAGTAAGTACAAAACACTTCTGAAATTTAATGAAGTTTTACATAATCTTTGTTACATACCGCCATTGTGCACCTCCTATCTTATTTAGATCGGTCACATATTTAGGGTTCCCCATAACAAAACATGACCTTTGCCAGGGTATCTCTAAGTGAACTCACAGTACCTCTGGTTTTGTTTTAACGTTTGATCCTGACATTTTGAGCGTATTTTGGTCCTGTCCTATATTTAAAAAATCCTGCATCATTTTTAAGTTTTAACATCAAATCTGGATTCTACAATGCAAATTGAACTACATTTAATGAAAAAACTCCGATTAAATTCCATTCAAGTCGAATTAAGCTAGGAACTATATTTTGTGGTGGAAGGTTTTTTAGAAGAAAATGATCAATTTTTCTCCTTTTGAATTATAACAGTACTGTTAATTTTAGATCCCTATTTTTCCATGCTCGGTGCACACAAAGCTGGGGGGTTTTGTTGCAGTGAAATGTGTAATGCTGGTTCTGAAATATCTATTAAATTATTTCTTATGAATTCTTTCAACAAAGTTTGACAAATATAGTAAATATACCCTTTAATCCTGGAAAAAAATTGAGCCAATTTTACATTAAATTGACACTTTTTTAGTAATATCTGAAAATTCACATCATGCACCCCTACTTTTGATGTTCTTTTCTAAATATTCAAGGTAACTTTGAACTATTTGCTTAAAATCAGAAAAAGGTTAAGACTTTAAAATAATTTTCATGCTTATCAAATTTTTAATGCCAGAAATATTACATTTTATTACATGTAGTGCAGAAAGGCCAAATAATTGGTTATGTGAAGCAATGTGAAACTTTTTCTTAGTCACAATTTTAAAGTGTCTTTTTTAAACAGACTAAGAGTTTATTTTGTTTCGTGCTTTAATTGGATAAAATATTGGAAGGAAAAGATTTAAATTTTAATTAAGACACAAATTTCAGTGCAAAAAGTCATATTATATGTACTGTAGCGCCAAAAGAAGCATATTGAGCCCCATTTTTGATTTGAATTTTCATTAAGCTTTGTATGTAAAAACTAAAAATATACTTGGCCAAAAAAGTTTAAGACTTTGAATATCAGGATCGAACGTCGTTAAAGTTAAAGATGATACCCTTAGATTGAATAAAAACTTATTCAAAAACATTATATGGGCTCGCTACGATCTACTGTAAGTCGTTTTAATTCCACGGTGTTAAAATTTCATGATTTCTAAAAAAGTTCCAATCGAGATGGTTTTAATTTCATGCTATAAGAAAATTTCTTACTATCATTTAAACGGTTTTAATAGCTTATGATAGCATTCACGATTGGTTTATTTTCGCAGAAAAATGATGAATCGCGAACATAACGAAATTAAAACCGTCGCGGTTATTTGCCAATCTACAGTATTTATCATCCTTTTTACAATGCGATGAGTTAAACTGAAAAAATAAAATCATAGATTTTATTCAGAATTTCAGTCGTTAGAATGGAAGAAAAATAAATCTTGATGAACCTCTATGTCCTATCTCTGCTGCTTTAAAATAAAATATATTGATATTTTGATGTCTTAACTTCCGTCATTATTAAAAAAAATAAATCAAATTTCCATTTGTTGTTGATGGTTGATATTTGTAACAGGAGACACGCATGTTATCGAGGTTTTCTTATTTTCATTTTTTATTTATATCTTTATTAAAACTACTTTTGTTTTATTTTTTTTAGATTTAGTAGACGTCATTCATGAGTGGAAACTTTTTAGGTTGATAATATTTGTTATCCCTACATTTCATATTCATATCTGTTTAGAATTCCATTTCTTAGACTGTGTATAAACCTTATTGTCTACTCTATTTTCTGTTAGTATTATCTTTCTTAGAACATTTTTTATGTATTTCCTTTATATTTTCATATAAATTATATATAAATCTGGATCAGGTCATGATTGGGAACTTGTGGAATGTTTTAACGACTGGTTTATCAATAACTTCCACAAAAAGTGTTTGTAGGTAGAGCATGATCTTGGGTATCTAATCAAATGTGATACATAAAACCCGTATGCAAGTGATGAGGGTAAATTCCTGTCAGATTTGTATCTTTCATTTTAAAGTCACTGTAAAATATCGAATTGACATATAAAGGAAAGTCTATGAAATATATGGAGATAACGAACGGTACTCAAGCTCAAAAGTCCATCAAACAATACAAAATAGAAACAGAGCAAACACAAATGTCCAAAACATCAGAGGTATATACCATGGAGGAATGACTTTCCCCTGCCGACCGGTCATACCCGCCGTGGGCTCCTTGTCATGAACAGGAAATAACAGAAAAATCCGTCGTTAATTCAGGATGTTAATAATAGACTAACAATCAATATGAAAATGTCAGTCAGCATTTGACTCAATAAAAAATTGTATTTGCTGACAAGGTCAGTGTATCGACTATAAAACTTACAAAATGATAACTTTAAACGGGACTGCTGATATTTTTTTCATCAACTTGTCTGTCAGTGATTTACTTCGTTTAAAGCCGCTTCATCCGAAACAGGCACATATTATCTTAAACAATAAAAGTATGTCACTACATAGATAATATATAATTAAGTCATTATTTGCTCCTAATATACATTTTAGAATACACTTCATTTCATCTGTATAGTGAAACATGTGAAATACAAGTAAATTATATTTAACTCCTACAGTTCAGAATTTAGCTTTACACTGTAAGTCTTTCTCCCACTACTATTATTAAGTATTTAGAATCTTTAGGAGCTCAAATTGAGAGGAAATATAAAATTTGACTTTTCCTATATCTTAAACTGAAAGTATTATTTACAGCCGTTTTTAGCCAACTGAGCAATATGAATACATTACAAGGTTTTCATACTTACATCTAAAACACTCTTAGTATAGAAAGACATTATCTCTTGCGTTGTGAGATAAATAAGTCGTTGTTGCAAGAGCCATCTCATTTTAAATGTGTACAATATTAATTCAGTCATCAAAGTCCATCATCTTTGTAATTTACACTTCTCGCATTCAGGTAAGTAGAAAATTTTATTTCGTAATTTCAATTTCTACGGAAATGTTTTGATGTTGGTGGTGATTTTTTTTTATATTTAATACAAATATAGTCCTTTTGTTAAATACATGTATATCATCACTGAAAAGCATACGTATACATGTACCTGCAAGAGGGATTTTTTCATTTTTATATAGGATAAGATCATGAAGATAGATTACGCGGAATCGACAAGTAACATGACAATAAAAAGAGTTGCTGAATATTGCTTTATTACTCGAGTATAAACATTTTACACACACAAAAATCTGCGCTTATTAACTGGTGCACCGCTTAGTGTTAACTCTGTTGTTGTTGCATCACGAGCCCGAACTAAAATGAAAAAAATAGAGGGCCTTCCGAAAGGCGACCTTCTTTTGCGTGATCTGAACTAGCATTAGCCTTAGTAATATCCTAAGTCATGATATATCATTTAAAAATTAAGAAATTAACTGAATATAAGCCCTAGTAATTTTTATTTTAATATGCATATTTACAGAATAAAGGAAAATAAGATATTTTTAAAGATTTTTTAGAGGGCTAGTGTGTACACTTTGTTGCGGAAAAAATGCTCGGGTTTGTTCTTCATGAGTTATACATGTAAGCGATAAATTTAATTTTTCGAAGGTGATTTCACGCAATGTAAACAAAGGATTATTTTTTGTGTGACCTAACAAAAATTATTTTGTTAACTTTTGAATTTTGATATCTTTAAAAAGAAAAAGACTTTGGGGATATAATTTGACAAAAGTTAAAATAATTTATGGACAATTATTTTTCAAGAAGAAAAACGAATATATTTTTTTAGTGATTAGAATCGGACCAAGCGGCTTTAAGAAATTGCACATACGTAGAGCATGCTCTTGCGTATCGAATCAACTGAGAGATATAAACTCCGTATGCAAGTGATGAAGGTATATTGCTGCATAAGTAAGGGAAGTTGACTATTGAAAAGTTAAAGTCATCACAGTTAGCAAAGACCTTGGTGTTAGATTACCATTAACGTCTTTTTCAAGAAAAATATCCAAATATGAAACAGATGTGTCAGACTCTGTGGTATCATTTATTTCAAGCTCACCGAGATATTATTGAATATCGACGTATATCTATATCTATATCAATATCTATATTGTGAAGTGATAGTTCATCATCGATATATCTTAATGATGAGTTTAAGGCCACATAAATTAAAATGTTAACATATTTTACAGTGCAAGGAACTAATTCTGTTACAGAAATAGGCATCAGCATAAACAAAATAAGCATCAGCATTTAAAAAACAGTCAATTAATTGTAACATTGTAAATATTACATTTAGTTAACAGTCTTAGATACCCCTTAGGGCGAAAATATGTTTTTAAAAAAATTTGAAGAATAGATATACTATACAATTATTGTTGTTTTTGAGGTGAATACAATGATTTAGCCATCTGAGGAGTACAATATTCACCGAGCCCGGAGGGCGAGGTGAATATTGTACTTCGAAGATGGCTAAATCATTGTATTAACCGAAAAAACAGCAATAATTGTTTTATTATATGATTCACTGATAAAATGATAAAGCTCATTACTTGTTTGCAATTAATTCAGTCCTATCCAAATACAAAAGAGAAGCAGAATTAAAATGAAAATAAGCCTTACCAGTCGTATCAATTTGAAGTTTTTTTTTTATCAATTTTAGTTGCCATGAAAAAAATATGTCAGTCTTTTTTATAGGATAGATTTTCAAAGGAAGGAGTAATATCAGGGAAAACTGACTGCCAAAAAGTAAAAATTGTTGTTCAGTAGAAGTGTTGGAGGATTGTCCCTGCATCCCCACTCTTACCACCATCACCCGAAAATATATATATTCGCTTATGTTTTGTTCACATGAAAAAAGTCATAGTCGTTTAAATAGCTTTCCAAAACAATTTGTATC